TTCTGTTCAACCAGCAAGAAGGGAACAAGCAGAGAACTGGGAGCTGAATCTTAAAGATGTGGAAAGAAATGTAAAAGTAGCCTATGTCAATTTATCTTAAGGAAATAATGGTGTGTCTAAAGGATTATCATTACCGATCGGTTAATGGTCATGAAAAGAGAAAGAGAAGGGGAGAAACAACCTAACTGTCCAAAAGTAGGTAGTTAGTTCAGAAAGCCTTGATGAAGCCCTGGCCAGTGTGGCTTATTTGGTTGGAGCGTCTTCCCATACACCAAAGGGTTGTAGGTTCAATTCCGGCCAAGGCACATGCCTGGGTTGCAAGTTCAATCCCCAGTCACAGCACACATGGGAGGCAACTGATCAATGTTTCTCTCGCATATTGATGTTTCTACCCTCTCTCCCTTCCTCTCTCTCTCAAATCAATGAACATATTTAAAAAATTAAAAAATCTGGATATGGCATACCTGGAATATTATATAGCCACTAAAAACAATCTCAGAGAGCAGTTAATGATATGGAAAGATGATTATGGCCTATTGAGTAGAAAAGGCTATAAAATGAGTACAGCAGTCTCCCCTTATCTGCGGTTTCAGTTACCTACAGGAATCACAGCCCAAACATACTAAATGGAAAATTCCAGAAATAAACAATTCATAAGTTTTAAATTGCGCACCATTCTGAGCAGCATGATGATATTCTGCACTGTCCCACCCAGGACATAAAGCATCCCTTTGTGCAGAGGCTCCCAGCCCATTAAAAACATAGTAGACTTCTCGGTTACTAGATTGGTCAAGAGAGAGTGAAAGAGAGAGGAGGGTAGGCATGAGCAAGCACATTCACATAACTTTTTTTTACAGTATATTGTTATAGTTGTTATATTTTATTTTAGTTATTGTTAGTACTCTTAATGTGCCTAACTGATACATTAAACTTTATCATAGGTCTGTATGTATAAGGAAAAACAGTATATATAGGATTCAGTACTATCTACAGTTTCAGGCATCCACGGGGGGTTTTGGAACATACCTCCAGAGGATAAGAAGGACTACTGTATCTCTAATTAACACTATAAATGTAATTTTCATTTTCTCCTTTTATTCATCTATAATTTCTAAACTTTCTCTAATGAACATGCATTATATAATGGAAAAAAATACAAGTTTGTTTTTAGATTGCTTGATTTTTTTTTTTAAATGACTAGCTTCTGTGACAAGAAACACTGGAGAATATATGTCTCAGAAGAAGGTAGAGGAACATCCTGCTATTTTGCTGTTAATGGCTTTATGAACAACAGGATTGGCAGCTTAAGGGAGGAAGATATAAGCCATCTTATCCAATCTCCTTAAAATTTGTCCAAAATATATTATTTCTGAAGAGTCTAGATGAAATACCTGCAAAGACTCGGATTTCATATCCAGTTCCCCGACCTATCCCAAATAAGTTTTTAGGTCCCTAATTGGCATTATAAATACATAATTATATCTGGAGCTGTTCAACTAACCCAGATAACATGCTCTCATTCATGTCCCCAAATATATCTTCTTGAAGTATAAATCACTGACCTACTTTGTTAAAGACGACTTTAATAGCATCTCCCTACCTCAATAATAAAAATGGGAAACTTGAGGCTACCATGAGGTCCCATTAGAGGAGCTGAAAATAAGCATCTAAACGCTCCCCATCAACGCAGCTAATCAGGAAGCAGGACATTCTGTACTCATCCTGATTCTGAGACGTCCTTTCACCTCTGAAATGTAACACAAGATGTGTCACAGGAAAAGAGACCCAAGACAGTGTTTTTTACAAGATGGGATCACTCAGAGCTCAGACTTCTTCAGATTCACAGTCACCTCAAATCTGGGAGTCTTTTTAGCTATCATCCTAAAAGTCAGGAAATCAGTTTCAGGTCATTTCCATTTACTAAAGGCTTTGTTTTTCCCGTAATTAAGAGGGCAGAGATCAGTCACTTCTTTGGTCTTTTGGCAGGCCAAGATGGTGATGGGGGAAGGACAGACACAGTGAAAGAATTAAAGAGCAAAAATGAGACAGGAGGAGAGCAAACGAGAGGAAGACAAAACATATAAATGGTAAGAGAACGTGTTATCTACACTGGGGCTGGAATTTCATAGAAGAGCACAGGCCTTCAATAAGAAAAAACGGACTTTCATGTTAAGACCTTAGATAGCCCCCAAACCATTGCCATTTCAGCCACGAGAAACGTACTTCTTTATCAATAATTCCAAAAATGGTTACATCTGAAAGTGCCAAAATGAAGCTACCCAAATAAGAATACTACCAGAATTTTTCTCCTCTGGAGAAGAAAAAGGTCCTCTCTTCTGCTCAAAACAATGTGTCTACCCAGTGGAAGTTAAGTTCTTCCTTCCCACTGTCTCCATGAAATTACTGTCTCCCAAACCAGATCAGAATCAAGAAAAAGACATGAGTAAAGAAGTCCTAAACCAGAGACCTACATGCACTCAGGAACGAGTGTGAAATAGTCCTGCTGCACTAGCATATCTGTCAAAAGATGAACAAAATAGAGAAAAATTGACCACCAGACACATACATCCTGGCATTGAAATCTGGGGAGCTGCAAATTATTTGAAGGCAGCAAAGGAAAAGGATATGTAGCTTAAAAAGATTAAGGGACAAAGGAGACAGGCGAGCACTGCACTTCGGGCAGTGGGTTAAAAACCCTGAGGAAGTGGCTGCTTAGGGCTGGGGGGATGGGGAGGATGGAGGAGGATGTCTAAGGAGTACAGGGTTTCTTTGGAGGAGGATAAAAATGTTCTAAAATTAACTGAGGAGATGGAAGAAAAATTATGAGAATATATAAAAAGTCTCGAATTATACATTACAAATGAGTAAATTCTGTGGTATGTGAATTATATCTCATTAAGCTATTTTAAAAGAATCCTAAGGAAGGACCTCTGAGGTCCCCACCCACCACTGCCTAACCTCATAATGGCACATTTGAGGAACTCAGTAATATGACTGCTAGAGGTGTCACATTAAGACACACGTCATCCTTTTCCTGCCTAACATTTCACAAGTTTCTCATTGAAGATTACCATCAAAACACATTTCAATCTCTGTCTTTAAAGAAGATTGGAAGGGAAAGGTAAGATGAGACTCCAGCATTTAGAACCCAGACTTGTGAAAACAAGTAAATTTTAAGTTATCTTCAGCTGGTGATCATCTTCATGCTTGAGCTCTGTGCTGCTCCCGACACAAAACCCCAAGCACTGTTGTGCTGTCTTTTCATTTCAGCATGGTGTGAAGTAATGCCGGCCAGAAGAGGTGGGGAAGATGAGAAGCAAGCCAAAGTCATGTCCCAAGACACAGAGGCCAAAAGCTTTCAGTTCCACTCCAATTTTCTACGCAATGGAGCAGAGCTTCCCTGCTGCGGAACTGATTACGAACCTGCTGGCTATGTAAAGAGGAAACAGGATTTCTTTCCAGAGGGAGAACCATCTTGCAGCTCTGAACGGAGCTGGCAACATGGTAGCTTGCTGACCTTGCACAGTGAGCCCAGGGAGGTTTCGGTCAGAGGGCCAGGAGACAGCAGCAAGCAAAGCTCTCTGAGGCCTCCAAGGCCTGGCCAGCAAACCGGAGGCAGTGGGACGAGAGCAGAGCTGGGCAAGGCACAGAAGCGGAGGCACCCATCCCCATGGCCTTCCTGGCCTCCACAGTGCCCCCAGTAGGAGAAGTGAGGCTGATGATCTGTTGGCAAAGCGGCCCAGAGCAGGATTTGCGTCAAAGTTCTCAACACACTAGTCAGAAACGCCAGAAACCCCTGCCTTGGGAAAGAGTAGCCCACAGCATTTTTTTTAACAAGCAGACAATAGGGAAAAGCAGCACAGGTCTCCTGGTAGCCACATCCCGGAGTCCCACCAAGCAGCAGGGCTGTGGTCCGCTCTGTCTCCCAGCCCCCGTCAGAGGGCCGAGAACCAGCTAAGATCAGAACAGAGATAAGGAGGAGCTGTTGCCAGAAATGAGTCGCCTGAGGGTACCTTCCAGGCCTGAGCAGGAGATCAGCTCTCCCTGGGTTTGGAGCACCTCACCCTCCGGAGCCATCAACCAGTCTTTCTTCTCCTCTTCCCTAGACCCTGTGTCCACTCAAGCTATGCTATAGCTCAGCCAATTCATTATGCTTCCTGAATGTTTTTAAAGAAAAAAAAATTTGCAACATAATTCCAGACTCTGACCCCAAATTACTTTAACCCTGATAAGAGCACCCAAGACTTACTGTGAGGAAACGTTTTGCCCTAGGATTGCCCGTGAGCACAACGTTTCCTTTCAGGAGCTGCACTACCCCACAAGTGCTGCCAGTATGGCCCAGCTCACAGGCCAGACTCATGGAACAAGTGGGTTACATGTGTAGAGCCACAGGCTGAGACATTCTGACATGGGTGGAATCTGTACTCTTTCGAACCATTCCTCCATCATTCCTTGATCTGCCATAGGGGCTCCTTCAGACACCTGAGATGTTCCAACAGGTGGCGAGCTGACACAGCTATGCATGCTAAGGGAAGACAAAGGATTTCAGACTAGGTTTATGTAGAATCCCTACGGGCCTGTAGAGACTTCACGTGTGGTCCGAGGACCCTCTCCAGGCAAATCACCTGTGGGACCCGAAAGGATGCATATGTCCAGACCTCACACGAGACTCATCCATCAGAAACGCTTTGCGGGGAGCCTGGGAATCTACAGTTAGAGGAATTCTTATACACATTCACATTTAAGATCCACTGTCTTACAACCAAACAGGGCACTTATGTGCATCTGCTTATCCTGCTAGGCACAATACCTACAATTTATCTCACGTTTTCCTCACAATAATAAAGTGGATACTTATCACCTTTGTAATTACACTGCTTTCTCCAGTTTCACCTCCAAAGGTCAAATCCAACGGCCTTTGGGCAAGCCCTCACCCAAACTGGCCAGGAGGAAACACCTAGTCATCAGAGCAAAAGTTTCTCCAACTCTCTTCTACTCACCTCTTCCGCTGCATGTTGATATTCCCCAGGGTTTCGGTCTCCATTCTTCTCTCCATAGGAGCGGTTCCTCGCCTTTGCTACCCATTAGAATCACCTGGGGAGATCTTAAAATTCCCAGGACCCAGGGTGCAACCAAGACAAATTACATCAGAATCTCCAGAGATGAGTCCCAGGCTCCTCAGGTGATTTCAATGGGCAGCTGCGGCTGAGAACCAGTGCCTGGACCTCTCGTCGCACCTGGTGAGACCCAAGTCTACACCAGTAACCCTATCTTCTCCAGAGCAGCAGACTTGTGCTTCCCGCCACCTTGTCAGTGTCTCCACCTGCATGTCTTGCGGGAACAACTCAGAAAGGACAAGCTGACTTAACTCCCATCATACACCATGGTTCTTCTCCTGTGGCACAGCTTAGCCATCCCCCCAAGACCTAAAACAGAAACTCGGGAGACACCCCAGACTCCTGCCTCCTCTGCCCACTGTTACACATTATCCTCTTCACCCACACCAGGACATCTCCTTAAAAATGCCACGGAAGCCTGCATTCTCCTTTATAATTTATCAGCATTTGACTGGATATTCAGATAATGCTTCCATTAAGACAGATTTTCAAAAAAGTATACTCTGCCATTAGTGCGCCCTGGCACACTGCCACCTACCCCAACACCTTATTCTAGTCTGAGAAGCACAGCCTAACCCCGCCCCCTCCCTGGCATGATAGCCAGATGGTCCAGTCTCTTACACACTTCTGCCTTGGGACATCATTAAGCTGAGTAAAGCTCAAATCATTGATAAAATATAGGGTTATTTTACATAATATAATGACAAATACTTTTCACTTTAATAGTTATTTCAAGGTATTTTAGGGAAAAAATGCTAACCATATTTAAACCTATGATTTCAGAATATAATAAAGTTCCCACTTGAAATAAATGTAATTTTAAATAAGTATACTTTTTCAAAGAAAATTAACAGTAATAAAGGTGGACAAAAGTAACAAGGGTGATTTTAAATGACTGATTTCTGGAACACTGCCTCACTGGGCTGGATAAGCCTTCACCTGCCTTTCCCAAAGCTCTCTGCTCTCTCCTCCACAGACCCCTCTAAACTGCTGGCAATCGTCCTCTTGTACTTACTGTGCACTATCCGTGCCGACCCTGCCTGTCAAGACACTGAGCTTCCAGGAGACAGGAACTGGGCCTGCCCTGCCCCAGAAACCCACCACCAGAAGCCTTCCATGCCAACAGGAGCTGCTACAGGCGCTGCAACAGAGCACACACAGGACAGGTGACTTCCCACTGGGGAAGGGCTAAGCTCTGTGGGACAGGCAGCCAGAAGAGAGATGTCAGACAAAACGCTCTGTTCCCTCTCCACTCCCCAGAAATTCCATTGCCCAGGGAAGCTTCACTGATAGATAAGGTGTGCCTACTGGCCCAAAGTCATGCTCTCCCGTCACCAAAGGTAGGAGACTGCCCTCCTTAACACCTGCCAAACTTCCTGAGTAATGCACATGCTGCACAAAGATAAAAACTCAACAGCACCCTCACTAGGAACACAAACAAGTTCTCTGGGGCCATAAGTTCAAGTGATTCCTGGTACACTATGTCTCATTTTAGGGAATGATTTTGTTGTGGCTTTCAATTCCAGAGTCAACAATATGTACAGACTGGGGAGTAGGAAATGGAGAAACTCTAAGCATTGTTTTATTACAGAGGCCACTCTGTCATAAACTAAATAATGAGCTTCCTTCCTACTTTAAAATCACAATTAATAAAATTCAGTTAATGCAGAACTTTTCAGGAACACTGCTATGAAATATTTATTGAAATAAAAAATGTACATACCCTGTGGTCCAGTAGTTCCATTTCTAGGAATTCATCCTACAGACCTACTCAGTCATGTGCTCATGACAGGTAGCTCCAGGATGTTCACAGGAGCACCGCTTGAAATGATAAAAGACTGGAAATCATGTAAATGTCTATTATTAGGGGAACCTGTTAAATCAACTATGTTATATCCATACAGTGGAATACAATGCAATGCTATCACTGAGTTAGCTCTATATGTACCAATATAGAATACTACCTAAAATATATTAAAATAGTTCACATTGCAAATAGATGCAAAATACTGTATTTGGCATGCTACCAAAAAAATACATAAATATATTTGCTGACAAATGCATAAATTAGGTCTGAAAAACATACAGAAACTGGTAAAATGTTGCCTCTAGTAGAACTGGGGATCAGGAGACAGAAGGAATTTAAAGGATACTCACAGTGTTTTTTGTCCCTTTTGAATTGTATACCATTGACAGGTTTTACCTACTTAGAGAACTTTTTTAAAAGAAACACAGGTATAAATTAAAGGAAAAATGCCTTTTTAATTTTATTTTATTTGCTCAACTGCTAATCATTTTCTACACCTGACCAGAAGTGTAATAACACAACCTGAAGTCAGGAATCTGTTAAAATTTCAGCTGTACCTGCTTGACAGTCTCAGTGGCACAGAAACTACTTCAAGTTCAACTCGACCTGCCTGGAAATCTACCTAAAGTCTACCTAAAGAACAGGAGGAGCCAGTTTATATTTGCAAAGCGTTCACATTAGCCCTGAGTAAACTTGAAAGCAAATCTGATAGCAAGGTCAGATGAACTTTGAAATCTACCTATGGTGTCTTTACAAACCACGTGAAATAGGGGTTATTTTGCCTTTTCCTTTGTGGCAGCAGCAGGTGTCAAAGCGTAGCTAGTGGCTTGACCCAAAGAGGCCAGCTAGTTAACAAGGTTTAGTCCAGAATTCCCAAACCCCTCAAATTTTGTCCATCTGGCAAAGAACGAACACACACACACACACACACACACACACACACACACGCACGCACGCACACACCCACCCCCCCCCACTCTAACTAACCTCAGGAATCTCCTCTTTCTAAATATAGCAGGCCACTGCCCAGTCTCCAAGCTCACCCTCTGAAGCATTCTGTGCCTTCCAAACCAAGGTGAAATGAGCCAGATATAAACATGCCATGACAGCTTCTGGCACACACTGACAAGCTGTTTTCCTTACTATTTCCTCTGTTTCTCCACTCTGGGTTTCTACAAAAATGTGTAAGCCCCAGTGACTCTAATTTGTAAACACTCCTCTGGCCACTAATGTTGTTTTCTCACCCTAACAAATGTGAGAAATTTCCTTCTTGGTCCCTGAACTTCTTGGTCCCTGAAATTTAAGGTTGAAATATCCCATTAGATACGGGTAAAGCCCCATCCCATCATCCATTTTATCTGTAAGCACCTGCAGCTCAGAAAAGATACCAGACAGATCCAAGGACAAAGCCAATTAACTGTAATCTCTCTCTCTCTCTCTCTCTCTCTCTCTCTCTCTCTCTCACACACACACACACACACACACACACACACACACACACACTTTTTTCTATCCCCTGGTTCTTTCAGAATTCATGTCAGTGCCTAACAGAAGGGTCTGTTCTATTAAGAATGCTTTGGATTTAACCAAAAGGTTTAGCTTCTGGAAACATAATCTAACACAACACAAAAAAGCACCAGTCAAATGTCAATTGGCTATAGGGATGCAAAGGACCTAAACAACAGATGTCAAAGAGCTTGTAAAAATTGGAGGTTGGCAACAATTCCACCTGGAGGAAACTTGGAGGAATCTTCAAGGATTCTGGGAATCTTCTAGCCCATGAAAATACTGGGACTCACAGACAAAGGCGGATGTGCAAGTGATCACTGCAGCACTTCCTCGAATAGTGAAAAACCGTGACAATCCAAACATCCTTCAATGGGAGGCTGGGTAAATAAGCTACATTTCCACACAGTAGAACTCTTTGCAGTCATTAAAAAGAATGCACTCATGTACATGTACTGACAGGAAAGATCTCTGAAAACACAGTATTAATTAGAAAAACAAAACAGAATAATTCATATAGTATAATCCCATGTCTGAAAAAAAACAAATATGCACAGCAAAAGAACAAGGAAAAAAGCATACCAACCTGTTGACAATGGTTAACTTAGGAAAGGGGCTTTACTCTGTACATTTCCATAGTCTTTGATGCTTGTACAAGGATATATTCATAAACTACCTATGTAATTTTTTTGTCTTTGCACTGTAAGATTGGGTCATTCATTCACACATTCCCAATCCTAATCCTCCCCAAATCTTCCTTATTTCAGAAAATAGCACTGTCATTCACATAATTGCTCCAGGCAAAATCATTTGAATTGTTCTTGACTTCTCTCCTTTTTCTTATAGCCAAAGTCTAATCAAACAGCAAATCCTGTGGGCTCTACTTCCAAAAACACCCAGGATCTGACTACCGTCTCTGATGCTGCCACTCTAGCCCAAGGTGCCACTGCTTCTTACTTGGCCTATTAGAACAGACTCCTAACTGGTCCCTCCGCCTCCATCCTTGCCCCACTACACCTATCCTCCACACAGCAGCCCCATGCCCTCTTAAAAACACAAGCAGGACCAAGTCACAGCCTCCCATGGCTGCCCATCACACTTAGAAGGAAACGCAGAGTCCTTTTCAGGACGCCAGACCCCCATAAACCTGGCTCCTGGCGGTCCTCCCTGTTCATTTGCCATCGCTCTGCCTCAGCCACACTGGCCTCCCGGCCGGCCGGCCTTCAGCCACCCCAGGCACCCTCCCTCCTCGGCACTTCTGTGCCTGCGACTGCCATCCTAAGAGCCCTTGCTCTCATCTAGGGCTTAGAGGACATGGTAAGAGCAGAGCTGAGCAGAGCTCCATATTTGTTAATGAAAGCATTCCTTTGATAGCAAAAAATACATAATTTGAAACATAGTGGATTATAATTTTAAAATTAAAACTAGGTTCAGTCTGAAATTTAAATCTACAGAAACCACTTTGATTGTTAGCTTTATACAGGCATCCCTCCCTTGTAAAACTTTTAAAAATGCGATGGCCTTGATAACAAAGTCACCTTCACAGGTTGTTGTCCCCAATAGCTCAGCGGCAGTAACGGTCCCTCCCTGACCCGTTCTCGTGCTGTCAGTTCACGGGGTCTGTGATCATTAGCTTACACTGACCAGAACCAGGACAGCTGGTCAGGGCCCTCTGTGCAGAGGGGCGCTGACTGGCCTAACCAAGGCAGAAACCGAACCTCCGCTTCCTAAGGACCACCTTCCCAAGCCCTAGGATCCTGAAACGGACTGGTTGAATGCATGAGACTGAAGCAAATAGAAGCAAAAAGTCCCCAAATGAGGGCAAATGGAGAATATACTGAATGCTCTTCACTTAACTATCAAAAATTTTATGAAACAAAGGGGAAAAAATCCAAGCCCAATAAAAAGACCTAAATACACATTTCTGCGAAGAAAACGCACCAATGTCCAATATAGCACATGAAAAGATCTTCAACATCATTAGTCATCAGGAAAATGCAAATTAAAACCAGTGAGATACTGCTTCACACCCACTAGGCTGGCTACCAATAAGAGAGACAAGAACAAATGTTGGAGATGACACGCAGAAACTGCAACTCTAGAACATTGCTAGTGGGAATTTTAAATGATGTTTCTGCTGTGGAAAACAGTCAGACATGGTCTTTGTTTTGTTTGTTTAAATGGAACATATATTAACTATACAACCTACCAATTCTCCATCTAGTAAGAA